TGAGCGATTTCATATACAAACATTGACTAACAGGCTTCCTGAGCTGAGTACTGCTTCGTCTGTCTAGCAAGTATGCCTATAATCAGATATTCTACCGTTTGGAACTTCATGCAGTTGGATCGAGTCGGACTGTCTACGAAAGTCTGGGAGACGCGATAAGGGTAGAAGGAAAATTCGCGTGGCCCAGTATAGGTTTCCAAGTTTCAGGTATCAAGCTCTTGAGAGTAGGTGGACGCCACATAGGCATATTAGGTCTCAACGACGTACTCCACCTAACCAGCAGTTCCATCGTTGCACTTTTTCTGAAGTACGACAACGGCATCAAAGAGCCAAGCAGGGCCGTCAGTATGCGCGGATCAATCTCATGACGACAATGGACTTACCCTGTTAATTCTCGCCAAGTTAGCACCCTCCCTCCCCCTTTGTATTACAGAAGCCGCCGTCTGGTGGGTCCACCGCCACCGAAATGGGATCGGGCCGAGGGGCGGGGGATCCTCACGCTCGCGGCCGAAGGTACGGTCCGCTCTGGCGCAGGCTTTAGAGGTTGATGACATAACTTGAGCTGCACCAAGCCAGCGGCTCGGACGGACTTTGCAGGAAAGCGAGGTGCCAGCAAGTTCAGCAACCTCCAGGTTCATTCCCCAGCTGCGTCGGGGAGGGAGGGGGTTTCACTCTGAACCAGCGCACGGGTTTACTGGATTTCGGCAGGGAAAGTTTCAAGACGAGCGTTAGCTAGCAACAACATCGTACACATACCTAGTACCTAATTAATTAGTGTTCGAATAGTAGGCTGAACAAGGCAGTGGGGCTGCACTCGAAGCGAATGATTTGCTTATTCTCGCAGCTGACTCGTCATCGAAAGTCAAGGGGGAGCGAGCTCATGGGCACCCGCCTACCTATCACCATCCATCCACGCCGCTACAGGTACTCATCCTCAAGCGATCTGTTAACCCCATCAACAACACGACAACCCATCCATTTCGCCCGCGCAACCGCTCAGCTAGCGAGACTGTTCATCTAGTGCCCTGCAGCATCAGTTGGAACATTACCTTGGCGAACCGCCGCCCCGAGCCGACAGCTTACCTACACACGTAGACATCTCGGCACAGACCACCGGAGAACACAACTCTCGTACGCTGCCGCTCTGTCTGGTTGTCGACGCTTCAACATGGAGTCAGATTCTCGATCCGCGGGCCCCGAGGACCAGAGCCTTCGTCGAGCTGTACGTTCCCCGGCCAGAGTGTTCCGAGTCACGCAGCTTTACCAGTCCATTATTTTTCATTAAAAGTACGTGCTGACATTGGCTATCCGTCTCTTAGTGTGACCAATGTCGCACCCGTAAAGTCGGTGGTCCCGTTCATTATGTGCTTGCTTTCCCCTAACTCCAGAGGACGCCACATCTGGCCATACCCCACTAGCTGAAGATAATCACATCCTTACAGCTCATCTTCCTTCGCAGAGGGACGCCTTGCATGTTATTAAGATTTCGGCTTGGCTGACAAGAGGTCCTATTATGGCCTAGTGCTGCAGATTCGGTGTGACAAGAGCTCGCCATGTTCCAACTGCCGCATAACGCAGCGTGCCTGTAGCTCTAACGGCGTTGGCCAAAAGCCGAAAGAACAAAGGCATCGGGTACTCATATCTCTTCAGTAGTACGCTGCCCGCCCTCCACCCGCCTTGTTTCTTGGCGCTCTCTTCACCGCGTACGGCAGCGAGGTTTTGTTGACCGTCTGGCTGCTGCCGGCAGTCCTTTGCCACCTCAGACGTTTGCTTAGAGAAACGCTGACATGTATGGCCTGCTTTCAACAGCGAGAAGAAGATTGACTTGATCGAGGAACGACTCTCCAACATTGAAGAGTTGCTACGGAGTCTCGTGAATGACCCCCAGGGCGTCGGCAACGCTTCGTGGGATGGCAACAGGGCCAGGCATGCTACGCCCTCAGCCTCGACAGTTGGTGATTTATCAATCTTGAGACAAGACGACGCAGACTCAGATTCCGCCTTCGAGGGCGAACTCTCACTTACCGCCCATACAATGTTTGCCAGCGATTTCATCGAAGATGCTGTGCAAAGAACTTCGCTCCGAGATGTCCCGCCCAATATGCACGCCGCTCTCTCCTCCCTTCGTCAGATCGTTACCATGCAGTCCAAAGCCTCCTCCACTCGAGAGTTTCGTTTCCGTACCCAGAAATTGCCCCCACCAGGAGGCTTGGCTGACCTGCCTATGCCGCCCATGAATGCCGTTGTGGCCCTGCTCAAGCACATGAAGGGTGCGGCCCTGTCCTTGGTGTACGACAAGCCGGTGTGAACTAACTTATTGGCAGTCTCCCCTCCAAGCATATTCTCGCTCGCATGTTCGTTTCTAGATGTCGAAGATCTAGCTGAGCTCTGTCGAAAGATCTACTTCTGCACTGACAACTTTGCGGACACCACATTCGTCATCGTGAATGGCGCGCTCTTCTACCTCTTCATGGAACAGGCATACCTCGCGCCCGATGCAGAGGCTCGAGAGGAGTTTGAAAGGTATCAGCACATTTGCCAGAGCAACCTCGAAACCGCCTTGGCTTGCTTGCCACTCATGCTGCCCGCCAAAACAGAAAGCATCGAGGCTTTACTCCTGGCCGTACGTAGCATGTTTTGCACAGCAATCTTGTTTGTCGCGCTGATGAGAACACCAGGCCGTGTATTCCATAGACGTATCGAAAGCATCCCTCGCATGGCTTTTCACCTCCACTGCTGCTAGCTTATGTCAAACGCTTGGCTACCACCGCGTCTCACAGGCTAGGAGTGAAAGCGCCGGCCCTAGAGACATCAAGACCCTCTTGTTTTGGCACGTTTACATGCTTGACAAGACTCTCTCACTCAGGACCGGCAGGGCGTCCGTCATTCAGGACTGGGATGTCACCTTACCCAGGAGAGTCGACAATACAATGGTTGCGGATCCTTGGGGGGCCATTATTACAACCTGGATCAAACAATCCGAAATCGCACATCGCGTCTACGAACAATTGTGCGTAGTGTTACTCATTGCCCCAGACTTGCTTCACACTGGACTAACACCATTACAGATACAGCCCGCTTGCCATACACCAATCTCAAGAAGAACGGATTGAGACCGTACGTCGTTTGGAAAGTGAGCAAAAGGCCATTATGGCTGCCGGGTCCCATGTGCGAGAGCAAGTTCTCTTCGGGCTCAAAGCTATGAACGCCTCATCCATTTTAGATATACATTTGAGGGGTGACGAAATGTCCTTCCACTCAACTATGACCTTGATCTATAGAGCACTACCAGCACCGGAGGGCTCACCGACCCGATTTTCCCAGGAATGCATTGACACTGCACGATTCGCCATGCAGTTGCATCTCGAATGCATGCAAAAAATAGCTGAAGAGGGGCGGCACCTCAAGGCAGTTTACATTCACTGGTGAGAGTCGGAACTTATCCACCGCAGCGACCCTGACTGATCCAACCTAGGGCTATTTTGCTCACTCCGTTCACGCCCTTTTTTGTCCTCTTTTGTCACGTCATTGACACATCGAATGCCGATGATCTCAGGCGATTGACCGAGTTCGTTGCCTCCCTCCGACCCGCCTGTGGACTGTCGGAGCCCGTCGAGAAGCTACACCAACTCTGTTCAATGTTGTGCAACGTAGCGACGCTCTACATGGAAAGCAAGTCGCAGCAGTCGGAAGAACGCGGGCCTATCAGTGATGAGTTTGACGTATACTTGAGTGCGCTGGGATTCCCACCAGCCGAATATCCTGCTCAAGGGGTGGATACCAGCGATATGTCTCAGCCCAGTCTGCAGACTGCTCAGTTGGGCAACTGGTTTTCGGGTAGCCAGTACATGATGGGGCTGCTCGAAGAAGACCTGTCCCAGTTCAACTAGCTTGGTTGAGGAGGATAAAATCGAGCCCAAATTTACCCTCCAGCAACCTAGATAGATTCGATAGAATTTTGCCGTGGCACGTTGAACGTCTGTATCCTCTCGATTAGAAGACTTAGCATGAAGGGGCCAAGCCAGGATTAGAATACGACGGCTGACTGGACGCACCTATGATCCTCGGAAGAACATAAAACTCCGCAACTCGTCGCCTTCTTTCTTGTATTCAATAATCCCTCGAGTTGCATTGGTTAGGTCAGCGCAGCACGCGACAAGCTCCTACTTGGGGGCATAGCTCGGTAAGTCGTTGGTAGGATTGTAGTTGGAGGTAAAGAAATCAATCAGTCGGATGCCTTGGGTCATAGACTTGGTAACCCTCATCGTCCGTATCGCTTTCGGCCGCAGTATCCCGCTCGCGAGCATTCGCAAGCCTGTCCGCCTCCAGTGCTTGACCAACTTTTGATTTTAGCGCGTCCGGTGCAGATGCGGCGAGGGCGTCTGCCGGGGCAAACGCCGACTTGAAGCCTGATTTCTTGAAGCCGCCCTTCTTGAATCCTCCCGTGGCGGCGGTCTGGTGTGGCTGTTCGTTAGGGGCAAGCTTGATGCTGACAAGCCCGTCAGCCTTGGCCTCGGCTTTCCGTGCTCGGGCGCCGGCGTTCGGATCGCGGACCATGGCCTTCATGTCCTTGAGACGCTGTTTGTGACTATGGTCGTAGCTACTAAGATGTGCTTCATAATCGTTCATGCGGGAATAGCCTTTGGAGCAGAGGCTGCAGTAAAAGGATTGGAGAGCTTCGCGGGCGGCAGCGGTCTGCGCCGGGGGAAGTGTTTGGTGGCGCTATTCGACGGAACCAAGTCAGCAGTGTATTGAGACGCTATCTGCGCATATTATTCTTTACTTACTGGAGGCATCGCGACCGATAATCCTGGATGTATGTGTTCGACGTAGGCTGTAAATAGTTGTGACATTGACAAAAGGTAGGTTGGAGTTGAGCTCAACGGTTGCGCGCCATAACGGGTATAGCGGCTCCCCGGATAGCGTCGGGCCCACACCCGCAGCTCCAGCCGTGGAATAGGTAGGTAACCAAAGTGCTTGCCGCTCCCTGTTGCTGCAACCTACCTATGACGTGTTGGGGAATGGTCAGCTGCGCAGTCAACGATTCGAGTGTACTCAGACAACCTATTACAGGTGCTTGACCTGCAAATACCCTTTGATACAGGCCAACGAGCCAACCGGACCGACATCTGGGCCACCTACAAACAGCCTCTCATTGTGCTTGCACAGTGTCGGAAAGAATCAGCGCCTCCGCTCGCTATGGAGTCCAGATCTCTCCAGTCGAAGCCGTCAGAGGAGACTCTCATGTCGCTTCTCCAATTAGACCCGTCGCCCATTGAGACACCACCGGTCGATACCGAGAAAGATCTTCCACCTTTGCCGGAAGATGCGCTTGAGAATGGCACTAGCTCACTCAGGTCTACGTCTTCGGCCCCCGGCTTGAGTGGGAGCGGGCATAGTACCATCTTCTACCGTATGTTTACAGCAGGCCACACATTTTCCGTATCCGACCTTGGCATAGGCTAACTGACCATCGTCCAATTGCTAGTTACGCGTATACAAAAGTTTTCGTCTTACCTGATACCTTTATTTACGACGCTTCATGTCACCAATACTTCGATAATACCCCTTATTGCCCGCTCCGTTCCGGCTTCCGAGACCTATCTGTTGCTGTCTCGAGAGATATACCAAACGTCGCTCACAGAACCACTTCTCGTGATATTACCTATAGTCGCACACGTTGCCTCCGGTATCGCGCTTCGTCTCGTCCGTCGATCACAAAACCTCAAGCGTTATGGTGGTAACACACCAGGCATGTACGCCTTATATCGCGCTCGGACCGGCAAAACCTCCCGATCCTTGACATCCAACAGCATCAACTCGGCTGGTCGCATATGGCCACCTATCAGTTACATCTCCATGTCTGGCTACGTCTTCACGACACTCCTCGCTGCCCACGTGGGCATCAACCGCATCCTTCCACTCTATGTTGAGGGCGACAGTTCCAATATCGGCCTGGCTTTCGTTTCGCACGGGTTTGCTCGGCACCCAATTCTATCTTGGCTCGCTTATACCGGCCTGCTGACGGTGGGCTGCGGCCACATGGTCTGGGGCGCTGCTAGGTGGTTGGGACTGGCACCGTCAGCCATGGGATGGAGCGGTAGCGGCTCCAGTGTGGTCGATAAGAAGGTCCGGAGGCGCAAGAGGAGATCATGGTGGGCACTGCACGGTGTTGCTGCGGTAGCAGCTGGTATTTGGGCAGGCGGTGGTCTAGGCATCGTAGCAAGAGGAGGCCTGACAGATGGTTGGGTTGGCAAACTTTACGATGATCTCTTCGCTAAGATCTACCTTTTGTGAAAAGAATCGACTGGCTAGGTACCGAGCCCATCGCATAATACCCAGGAGGCAGACCGCGTCACAGATATCACATTCACACTCGTCATCAATACTAACAAAATGTATACGCCATGACTGATTTCGTGAAGGCGACAAGCGAATGATTAATCACTTGCCACAGATTTCACTCAAGGAATAAATAAATACGAAGTACATTTGAGGAAGCAGCAAGACCAAAAGGAAAGATATAATAACATTTTCAAGGAAAGTAGTGTGCCTTATCTCGCCGACAAGTCATGGCTAATTACACAGCCAACGCATCTTGTACAACCAGAAACCCCCTTCCGTCGACTATAACAGTGACCCTAATTTAACCCACAATCCTCACCTTCATTTATCACGCCAAGCCATGATGAGAGCTGACCGACTCCACGAACAAGCTGTCAGGGGCGCTTTGAAGTATCAACCTTCGGAAGGATGATAGCGAAATTGCAAAGGTAGTCAAGCAATCGTCAATGCTGTATGGCTCATTTCGCTGGCTGCCGTGTGTCCAGCAGCATCTAGTTGCCGTTGTTTCCTTGGCCGGGGAAGACACCGCCGTTGAGCTGAGGGCAAGCCTTCTGTGCTGCCTGGGCTGCCTTGACCAGGTCGTTTTGGTCTTTACAGGCCCCAGAAACGCAGTTGATCAGAGAATTAACATTGGCTTTTTGGCAGTAACAGTCCTTGATCTGGTCCTGCGCACAGCCACTTTTCTGGATGTCATCGTTGACACAGCTCTTCGCACAGTCGGGCACGTCGAGGCTGTCGGCAATGGCAACGCCGACGGCAGCAGCCAGGATGGCGAGGAATGAGGTCTTCATTTAGATAAAATTCGTCTGGTTTGGGGGTGAAGTAGTATTGGTAAGGGGCACCGATTCGGAGAATGGTGTTGTTCTTTATGCGGTTGTTGAGTTCGTTGAATGAGATTCCACCTACCTATAATTGGGGCCATCTCTAGCACTTTATATGCTCGGTCTACTGTCGAGCAAATACCGGAAGTAGGCCATAGCACACAATTCTTTCTCTTGACGTAATGGAATGTATCATTCTATCCCCAATTGTTGTCATTGAGTCTCCAGAGAAGCTCAGTCAGAAGCACACTGGTTGTATGTCCGAGGCGCAATATCGTAGACTAGGTTTTGCGGATTGACTGCGGGACCGCGTGTTCTTAAACCTTGTTCGAACACGCCAGTCAGAACCCAAGGTACAGTGATAACGAATAAGATACACAGCAGTGTCTCTTTTCGTTAGGTTCATAGACTACCGGTACTCTCAATGTCCCAGTTAATAATCAACTTGTTTGCTCTGGCCCATGCCAGTGTACGTGTCAGAGAGCCTCACGCTATGTGGCTTGCATGAGTAACTTAAATGTCATGGGACAAGCTGTTCGGTCGAAGCACAGACCTGGGTTCTGCTGGCCTCGAGACTCAGCGTGGGCTGTGTTATTACGTATGTCCGCAGGCTGAAGAGCAGAATCGGGTCAAAGCCACATGCGTAGATGAGTGAGCACACAACGGCGATGCATCTTCGTGGGCATTGCCTAATGCATGGCTAGGACTTCCGTGTATCGAGTGACCTTCGAGACCTTTTGCCGTGGCCAGTTCTGGTGAAACAGACTCTGCAAAGTTCGCTCTGTGCGTGGTATCGACGACGATCGTTGGGCTGTGTGGAAAACATCGGTTTACACCGACTAGCCTACATCACCTGCTTGCCCGTGTTACACGCACTTTACTTGAGGCATGTCCATGTTTTCCGGTGGTTCAGGTATGCTGATGCCTGGCGCTTTGGTTGCGCTCTAACCACGTTCCTTCCAGAACCTTGAATGCCGCGCGATACATTTCCACCACTCCAAGGCCAAGGTGCTTCGGAATAGATGACCTCGACCATCCACAGGCCTCAACCCGGCCCCTATACAAGTGACGGCTCGTAATATGGCCTCAATTGGCTTTTATCTTCGCATTTGATCAACGAACCGCGAAGTGCGAGGTCACTATCACTCTTCATGGGCCACCAAAGCCGTAGGGGGAAGGATTCTGTGACGCTTTCTTTAGGGGTATCCTGCAAATGTCATAAACAACCCCGAGTTCCCAGTATGTGTTCCTGCTTCCTAACACGCTCAGTTTCCGGTGCCAATTCCCTGCCGCTTTTTCTTCCCAATTCACCAATCATTGTTATAGAGGACCACTGAAATGCAATCCGTTTGAGCCTTCCATATAACATCATCCCCGAACCGAGCCCGCACAAGGCCCTGGTCCTCCGAAGTTGTCCGAGTTTTTTATTTTTGCAAACACGATTCCGGGGCGTCCATTGGGACAATCATCGTCTGTGTTAGGACCAGCGAATCCATGAATAATGGAACATGGAGGGGTGAAGGATTCCTCGGCCATATACAGCCAACCGTTGCATCCGTCATGGATTGAATGGTGACATATTGAACAACATTCCTCAGCAGTGTTGGCCTGATACATATTGAATTTCCAGCCGCTCATTCCATCAATTCCGATCCAATTGACGGCTTTGACGAAATTTGGCTTTACGCATTCCGGGGGCTGTATCATCGGGTGGTTAGCAACTTGTGGTTGGATATTCGTAATGGCCAGCAACACCTGGATAGAGGGTGTCTTACTCACCGGATTCAGAGTCGAGGAAGGGTACGGAATGGCCGAAGAGGGTGTTGGTGTGACGAAGTAGGAAGAAGCTCGTGATACTGACGAGCTGGCAGTGGTCTCGATTTTTCCAGGGCCATGACCTCGATCGCTTGCAACCACTGTGACCATAACAGGGATCACAATGGAGAGGATGAGCAACCCGATACATATGCCGATTATCGTCTTCCAGGTCCAAAGGCGCGAGCGACGCTTTAGTTTGGACTGGCTCGTTTGATCTGCATGGTTCGATAAGGCAACATCTCCATCCGGGTGAACATGTCTAGCGTCGTCAGCGCCATCGTTTCTAGTTGGCAAATTATTCAGCGGAATCTGGACTGCTTCGGGGGCAGAATGGACCATGACCTCGGGTGCTGGGTTGGTCTCATGCTCCGCCCAGAGGTGACCTTTGGGATAATCATCCATGTTCGGCACGCCGACTTGGAAGGTTCCTGATCAGGACAGTCGTTGAAGTAGCGGCTTGGAAGACTGAAGTCGAATATAACAATGGTTACTTCAGGGTGAGATGATGTGGGTTGCGGAGGCACCAAGCCAAAGTATTATTGCAGTATTAAGAGACTTAATGAACTATCCACATTGGATATAATTTTGGGCGTCGCTGAGGTGAAGAGTGCTGGAAACAAAGTGACGTCGCGAGATCCCAAATATGTGGACAGTGTGTTTGTTTGCCTGCTAGGCGAAGCAAGCACAGAGAAGGTTGAAGACGACTGGAGATGCCGGTGTTACAGGCACTCCGAGAAGATGTTTCCTTTGGTTGAGGGCAGTCGAACCCCGAGTGACTCTACACCAGGAGAGAAAGAGGGAAAGAGGGAAAGAGCGGCGGAGTGGGTTTGTATAACTCCTCTCTATATTCATAACTTTTACATCGGAACATGCATGCCCTTTACCTTCCTTAGTCACTCGACGGGATGACACTACGACCTCACCTCACTTCAAAGAGACTGCCGCCACATTCTTCCATAGTTATGTTATGTTGTATCGTACTTCACAACCATTTACCTACCCACCTTGAGACCATAGATCAAGTCAAAGTTCGCCATAGGAACTATCAACCCAAAGCGCAGCCAGACGCTTGACACTTACCAAGCCAATCGAATGAGGAGTCTTGTTTCGGCCATCAACGTAAGGGCGATGGAGGCAACCACCCATTGTCTGGCCTTACTGTGTTGCACTCAGTACCTACTTCATCGTAAGCCATTGCACGGTGCTTGCCACGAGTAGTTTGTATTGTCCAGCACAAAACACAGACATCCATGACGACTTGCAACTCGACACATTACGTCTGAAGATGCCTAAGTAGCGACATTGCTATACCATAGATGACAGAGACTGTCAATGTTATTCCAGAAGGGAGGGGGAGGTGTAAGGAATATGCTGAAACATGGTTCGTCATTGGAAAGCCACCTTCCGTCTATTCTATTGTTTTCCACCGTGTCGTACTCTTGTATTTCCTTCCATCATAAGATAGTCGTGTCATGCCTCGATAAACGCGTTTTATACTTGCCCAAACAGCAAGCCCCTCATTGGGACAAAGTCTTGGCATCTCCGTCCTTGAGCTTGCCAGCGCCAACAAGTCGCTTGATCTCATCGCTCCAAACACTCTTGATCTCATCGGCAACCTTGAGGCCGTTCAGCTTGCCAGCCAGGGCCGCAATCTCATCAGGGTCAATCTTGCCCTGAACGAGCTCAACATCACCGAGGACAGCGTCGATTGTAGCGGCTGAAGGCTCGCCAGACGCGAAATAGTTCGCGTCCTTGACAGAGCCCTTGAGAACACGCTTGTTCTTCTTGACGGCGTTTTTGGCAGCCTCCTTAGCCTTCTTGGATGCCTCCCGGTCGACCTTGGCCTTCTCTTCCGCCTCCTTGGCGGCCTTCTCCTCGGCCTCCTTCTTGGCCTGGGCCTCTTCAAGAGCCTTCTTCTCTGCCGCCTCCTTTTCTAACCTCTTTTTGTTCTTGGCCGCGTTGGCTTCCTGTCTAAAGCGCTTGATGCGCTCGTCGCCGGCTGAGCAGTCGTCAAGCAGCTTGCGCAGACGGGCGTTGTCCTCGGCCTTCTTCTTCTTGCGCGCATTGGCGTTCTTGCGTTCCGTGTGGCGCTTCTGGTCACGATTCTCATTGTCGTCAGGGACATCCTCGTCCAGGTACTCGAACGTCCGCCAGCTGTCAAAGTTGTACCAAAAGTTGTAGAACTCCTCAACCTCCTCCTTGGTAGATTTGTCGTCGCCAAATGTTGGTACTGGCTGGATCTTGGAGAAGCGACCCTCAGCCTTGAAAACGTTGCCCCACAGCTTGTAGAAGTTGCCCTTAGCGAGCTGCTTCTTCGTGGGAGGATCAACATCAGCCTTCTCGTCGACCGAATCGTATTGTAGACGCTTGGTAGGATCCAGAAGAACCTCGGTGGCCTTTTGAATGCACTTAAAGAAGCTATCATCGTCGACAATACCAGCGGCCGCCTTCTTGTCAGGGTGATGTTTGAGGACCTTCTTGCGGTGGGCGCGCTTAATTTGGTCCTCCGTGGCCTTCCAACGATACTTGGTGAGCCCGAGAACTTGGTAGTGATCTTGGTTCTAGATTCACCAAAAGCGTCAGTCGTAGTCTCATGTGGGCGAAACAGCACGCGCAATGAGGGTGACCCGCTTACCTTCCAGTCCTTGGCGTCACGCTGAAGCATCATGGGGTCCTCAGGCTCACTGATCTCACCATCGTCGTCGTTCTCAACCTTCTTGGCAGCCTCTTGGGCCTGAATACGATCATCCTCGGAGAACGTACGCTTGTGACGGGCCCGACGGGCGTGAGCCAGGAAATGAGGGCCAACGGGCTCCAGGCTGCGCTGAGTAGCGGCAGCAACCTGGCTGACGGCCTTAAAGTCCTTGTCGGCGGACCAAGCCTCAGGGAGAGCCGGAAGGGCCTGAGCGACAACGGTTGCAGAAGCCATATCGAAATTGTTCGAATTATTTGGCTGGATGAGGATTGCAACTTTCGTGGGTTGAAAGAAATGGAGGGACGTAGTTTACCTCGGGCGGGGGGGAAAAGCCATCAAACGTGGGGCACAATTTTTTTTTCTGGAGTAGGGGTGTGGGAGGCCAAGAAACCAAGGGTGTGTCTTTAGACACCTTTGGCGTTCGCAACTTTTCCCCCCCCCCTAAGCCATGTTACGACTCCGTTGAGCCTCTGTTAATCCTCTCCAATCACCCAGTTTTACAGAGCAGACGTACTCTAACAATCGCGCTTTGAACATTTCACTGCATCTATTATGTCCCTATCTGCGTATCGACACCTCTGGCGCGCCGCGAGGATTGCCTTCAACGGTATGAGAAACGCTCCGCTTGCACGACTGCCATCCGACTGACAATGGAATCGTCTTTAGGTGACGACCGAGTACTCACAGCTGCAAGGCAGCAGATCCGTCAAGGCTTCAGGGACCAAGCTAGCCTCGCACCAACAAGCCCAGCTTACGGACAAGCAATCCAAAAAGCCGAGGACATCGCCAAGATACTCAGGGAAAATGTCGTTCAGGGTAAACAAGATGAATCTAGCACCTATAGTGAGTTGCACTATATCCAAGATGCTGCTTACAACTGCGTATCATGCTAAGCAATGGCCCTCAGAGTTGCGCATTCACAAGGACACTGAGCGAGGCGACAACGATTCCGTCAAGATAGCCGGCAGGGGCAAGACAACGACCATGGGCGGGTGCGGCTGCAGTTAAGGGACTAGAATAGTCTTGAAACTGAAAGCTGTGTAGCTTAGCAGAAATGCTTGTAACTTTGTACAACAACTCTTATGATACCCTGGCAAACAATACCGCTTTTACTCAAACCCAAATCCCAGTCGTCGCGTCCAGGTAATCCTTACAGGCTCCTCAACTCCGTAAGAAATGCAATTTACCTCTGTCGTTCATCAAGATCACTCGCCCTGGAGACTAGCATACTTCGGACCATCGTCTGCGCCTGGAGGAGGAGCAACCACTTGGACATTCGACGATCGAACATCCTCTCCAGCATCAGAGCTAGCGGGTACCTGCCTTCGTCCACTCTTTCCATCTCCCCCGCGCGCGCTTCCCTGTCCTCGTCGTGCATCCATGAGCATCTGTGACCGTTGCTCCTTGTCCATGGTGCCGATGGCCTTGGGAACGCCCCAGCGAATACGCAGAGGGCATCCTGCAATCACAGCTCGACCTCGATACGCGGCGGCGGCCTTCTCGGCTGCGTCCCTCGTCTCGTAGTTGACAAATGCACAATGCGACATATGCGAGCAAACCAAGCTCTTGATCTTGCCATGCGCCTTGAAGAACTCGCGAATTTTGTGCTCAGGCAGGTCGTCTTCGACACCAGTGACAAAAAGGGACATGATATTCTTGTCGGCAGGTGGCATCCAGTCTTGAGGCCCAGGAGGCAGCTGGGCAGCACTAGGGAAAGCTTGCTTCGACCGGCCAGGCCTAGCTCCAGCTGCTGCTGCGGCCCTCGAATCCCTCGTCCGGATGGGACCTGGTCCGCCAAGACCCGCTCCCACAGCCGGGTTACCGCCGAGTCCACCACTTGAGCTTGAGCCTGCTTGAACCTCGTCGAGGCCTTCAACGGGCCGGCCCTTTCGAAAGTAGGGCTTGCTTGCCGCTAATCTCCGCAAGAGCTCCCTGGCCTTCTCATCCGTCTTTTCATACTCTTCGACTCCTGCACGACCTTCCTCAATGGCGCGTTCGTTGTTCTGCGCAAAGTATTCACGGTTAATGTCGGACGACGGCCCGGGGGCCACCATCTTCAAGGCAGCATCGCGAACGACGATAGGCAAGCCAAATGAGAGATCCAGCATACACGCCTGACAGCAGTTCTTCAGACGCGCGCAGGTCAAACAAATGTTTGTTCGCTTCTTCCGACCGTGGGCTCGATCGGCACTCCAACTGAAGACAGTAAACGGTCTCGTACACTGCCGCGCGTCGTCAGCAAGTGGTTCCAGAGAGAAGAAACAGTCGTGAAGCGGGAGGTGCGCGTACTAGTTTGCACTCGGCACCGTAATCTTCCTTGAGCATCTTGACGTATGGATTCTCGGGCAAGCAGTTTTCGCAAACGGAGGGGAAGTCGGTCGATTCCCACCCTGAGCGGTTCAGGTCTTGCTTGATTTGAGGTGGCATTGCGCCTCAATACCGCAAAGCTCGCTTGAGTTAGGAGGTCGGCAAAAATTGCAAGACAGACGGGGGCTTGGAGGAGTTGGCTGAAGAAAGTGTTATGTATTTCTTTGGTATGGTAATCTGGCTGATCAACTGGGGCTGGCAGACTGGAAATCGCAGGCGGACCGAAGGCGTAGGCATAGGGTCACATTAGTGGCGCAAGAGTCTTCTTCTTATCTTCACGTGATACAAGAGCGACTAGTGCCCAGGATACGTACCGCGATCAGACACGTAAAATATGTACCTATGTCGGTGCCTAGGCATGTATGTTCAACTGCCCAAGAGCTGCTTGTGGATTGCCAATCTGGTATCACACTCGAATGCCGGATGTTTGAGATTTGTGAGCGATTTCCGGTTTGCCTGGAACGTATGGCGAGATATGATAAGTTCCATGACTGGTGGTGGTTACTACCTAGATATGCATTACCCCGTAAATTCGATGGCTTCGGCGTGAGAACGCAAGGCGCCTGCTTGTAGATGCGACGATGCCAAGCACCACCAGCCTCCAGTGATAACGTGAGGAAATTCTATGGCTCTTACTGAATCTATAATTTCCTAAAACCATTACTGGAGTGTCCTCTTGGGAAATCATGAAGCTACATATACTTCACCGCTGCATCCGGCTGAGCAAACCTAATTGCCCACCTCAATATGACATAGTCTCTGTCCAATTGCTCTTGTCAATAATAAATACCTGGCCAATGTGGATAGTCGGACGGTAAGCATATTCAGCATCGTACCAAACACCAGCACTTTAGTATCTTTAGCTTCATCACAGCCGACTTGTGAATGTTGCTAGTGCAATCTCAGTAGGTCATGCTGCTTGTGAATGACTGGCCGGGGCTCTTTTGAATTCGTATTCGGATTAGACACCCTGGTCAGCATGCACATGTTTGTGCTGACCCAGTGAGCCAGCTAGTCACCGCCTGCTCAACAAAGCTATGCAATTCTACCAATCGCCACTATTGGCCAATGGCTAATGGCTACGGACCTTGGCGGACCCATGAACCGAACGACTGGCAGCATTAGCTTCCGCTTCCCCCTTTCCCTTTTCCCCATAGGGATTCCCCTACGGGCGTGGCGGTTGCAATTCTGCTATTAGTAGTGGATACCTTCTGTCTCCTCTGCCACTCTGACTTTGTAAGGTTGACCTATTGAGGAAATGGGAGGCCGAGAAAGAGGCATGCACGGGAATGGTGGTAACCGTTGTCACTGGAAATTTGACATGGCAACCTGCCGCCTGCCGTCCCCTTTTCCCGCTCGATACTTCTTGACTGTATAAAGAAAAAAGAAAAGAAAAAAAAAAAGCCCCCCGCTCTCTTGCGCAAAGCATCTGATTGCCCATTCTACCATTTTGCCGACTTGATTGTTCCGTTGACCCCCATCTCTTCTATTTCTTCTTCTGCCACCCTCTCCCACACGCACACCCACTCTGTCCTTCTCGACTTTCCAAGTTGCTCTTCCATTCTGCTACACCATTCATCTTCCGTCGTGTCTCCAACTCAACGTAACAATGGTATCCTCAACGGCCACCAACCTCGAGCGCGAGGACCACGCCCGCGATGCGGATTTCAACAAGGCCTTGCATGGTAACAGTGCCAAGGCCACCGGTGGTCTCGCCGCCATGTTCAGCAAAGGCCGCGATGCTAAGCAGGCCGCTGTCGATGAGTACTTCAAGCACTGGGATAACAAGGCCGCCAAGGACGAGACTCCTGAGGAGCGCGCAGTGAGTCGTCCTGCTTTCTCGTGCTTCCTATACCACCCCGAACTCTTGTGTGCAGAAGCTGACTCGCACCCGACCTAGGCTCGAACTGCCGAATACGCGACCTTGACCAGACAGTACGTCACGCACAAACTTCTGTACGTCGGTGACATATGGCTGATTTTCATCTTCTAGCTACTACAATCTTGCTACCGACCTGTACGAGTACGGCTGGGGCCAGTCCTTCCACTTCTGCCGCTTCTCTCATGGCGAGCCCTTTTACCAGGCCATTGCCCGCCATGAGCACTACCTCGCCCACCAGATTGGCATCAAAGAGGGTATGAAGGTTCTCGATGTCGGATGTGGTGTTGGTGGACCTGCGCGCGAAATTGCAAAGTTCACTGGCTGCCACGTTACTGGCCTGAACAACAACGATTACCAGATTGATCGAGCGACCCACTATGCTGCGAAGGAAGGTCTATCCAGCCAACTCGAGTTCGTCAAGGGAGACTTCATGGTACGTAATTAGGAACACACCAGATCATAGTTGGCATCTCTAACATGCGCTCCGTAGCAAATGTCTTTCCCCGATAACTCTTTCGATGCCGTCTACGCTATTGAGGCCACCGTCCACGCGCCTAGTCTTGAGGGTATCTACAGCGAGATCTTCCGCGTGTTGAAGCCTGGCGGTGTATTTGGCGTCTACGAGTGGCTGATGACGGATCAATACGACAACGACAACCTGGCCCACCGCGAAATTCGCCTGGGAATTGAGCAGGGCGACGGTATTTCCAACATGTGCAAAGTCTCGGAAGGCCTTGCCGCCATGAAGGCTGCTGGCTTTGAGATGCTTCACCACGAGGATCTTGCCGAAAGGCCTGACCCTATGCCATGGTACTGGCCTCTATCAGGCGACCTAAAGTATATCCAGTCTGTGTTCGATGTGTTTACAATTGTGCGAATGACCAAGCTGGGGCGCTTCCTGATGCATAACATGATTGGTGGTCTTGAGGCCATCAAGCTGGCTCCTGCTGGCACCAAAAAGACGGCCAATAGCTTGGCATGGGCTGGCGACTGTCTCGTTGCTGGGGGCAAGGAGCACTTGTTCACGCCCATGTACCTGATGGTTGGAAAGAAGCCCGCCAATTAGGGGTTTTACAGCTGTGGATTACGGGTAGAGCTAGCGGCAAAGCGCGAGGTGCCACCGGCAGATGTAAAAGGAAGTCCATGACTTTGTTGCTCGTTATATGAGTATTTTATTAGTATCATAATTGTAATTCGGAAACGATTACCATAGAGGGCTTAGATGAGGCGTCATGGGGGGCCGTGATCAAAAAGCTAGATAGACCAACCGGCAAAGAAACGTCAAACAGAGCTTGCCGTTGCGAAGTAGCTGCGAAGAGTGAAGTTGGTCGATGCGAGAAGCTGGACGATGTCTGCAGAGTTCTGTTCGACCGTACTCAAATGCACTATTGGCGTTGCCATTGTCGCTCACATACTTATCACTTGGCTGGACTGTGATAATGGAAATCCAGCAGCGCAGCCGAACGACGTCGTTCGTTGCGTGCAATTCGTTCAGCCTGAGACTTGACCAGCAACTGCCTAACGGATTTGCTGTCGGAAGGCCCAGTTAGGGTACTAGAGTGTCTTGAGCTCGACGGGGCTTTGCATCGGGTGGTTGAGAAGCTCGGTGAACCCAATGTCCCAGCCACACACTTAGGATCAGAGAAGGCTACGTAACCTACAAAGAAACCTTGAAAAAGGATTCCTCCAAATGGCAGAGCAGACATACACTCTTGCTCCAAATCCCTTTTGACTGTCCATTGTTGGTTGCACCAAGGTGGGCTCTCTATTCGGATGGAATCGGGTGGCAGTGGGTGCAAATTTCTCGAAAAGGAAATAAAAGACTAAAAGTGCTTACAGCGCTGCGCTGATGGAGCCTTATGCCCTCAGGTAGATACCTATACCTAGCTACGCTTGAGCAGAGCTTAATTAAGCCTGAAAGACCGATAGGGACCACACGCCAGTACAGCAAATCCAGTCAAAATAGCAGCCAAGGGCAGTGATTGGACTCGACCGAGCTTGTCGGGATTAGATCGGACCTGGAATTTGGCGCATCTTCGGACGGGGCAGGCTCCCTGAGATGGGCCATGATTGGCTCAAAGGGAGTTCGGCCGATTATCTAATGGCTCCCACAAGGACGCCGTAAGTCTCAAAAAAGACTAGTGCCGACCCCAGGGCCTCCCCAACGCTGTTGTTTGGCAGCTCGCCGCAATTCAACGGACTCAACGACCATAGAGCTAATCAGCAAAAAAAAAAAAAAAAAAAAAAAAAGAGGTCTGCCAAATCCCTCGACAGCTCCCAGTCGACTTTATCATCCCTCTCCCTCCGACGCTCAACTTTCGTCGTTGGCCATCGTCAACCCCACCCCGAGGTCGCCAATTGTCCGTCTTCCCCCATCTCTTTTTCTTGTTCCTCATCACCTCCGTTCTCTATAACCACCCTTTGGGATACCACGCTTATCAAACGTTGCGACCTCCGTGTCTTTAGCCTACAACCACCCCCGAAAACTCAATTCGCGATGTCCCGATTCCTCCGTCCCGCAGCCCGCCTGGCGGCCTCGTCCAGAGCTGCCGTTCTCCGCTCCTCTTCTGTTTCCCAGTTCGTCAGCCGACCCGCTGCCTTCGCCGTGCAGTCAAGGACGTACGCCGATGCCAAGGGTACCAAGGACTACACAGTCCGTGAGGCTCTCAACGAGGCCCTCGCCGAGGAGCTCGAGGCCAACGAGAAGGTCTTTGTTCTGGGCGAGGAGGTAGCCCAGTACAACGGCGCGTACAAGGTCACAAAGGGTCTGCTGGATCGCTTCGGCGACAAGCGCGTCATCGACACACCCATCACCGAGAGCGGTTTCTGCGGTCTTGCTGTTGGCGCTGCCTTGAGCGGACTGCACCCTGTGGTAAGCAATTCACCCTGCAGCGCGCTAATAAACCCGCCGGATTGTTTCAGGCTCCTGGATCACCGTATTCGACATAGTTCGGTGCCTTCTGAAATGCTCTGGGAGTTTTCCGAAAGCCAATTGTCTAACCTGCGTCTCTCCCCAGTGCGAGTTCATGACTTTCAACTTCGCCATGCAAGCCATCGACCAGATCGTCAACTCGGCTGCCAAGACTTTGTATATGTCTGGTGGTATCCAACCTTGCAACATCACCTTCCGCGGCCCCAACGGCTTTGCCGCCGGTGTCGGTGCCCAGCACTCCCAGGACTACTCAGCGTGGTACGGCAGCATTCCCGGTCTCAAGGTCGTTGCCCCTTGGAGCGCCGAGGACGCCAAGGGTCTTCTAAAGGCTGCCATTCGCGATCCCAATCCTGTCGTTGTTCTCGAGAACGAGCTCATGTACGGCCAGACCTTCGCTATGTCGGAGGCTGCCCAGAAGGACGACTTTGTCCTCCCCTTCGGCAAGGCCAAAGTTGAGCGTACCGGCAAGGACTTGACTATTGTTACCTTGTCCCGCTGCGTTGGACAGTCCTTGGTTGCTGCGGAGAACCTGAAGAAGAACTACGGTGTCGACGTCGAGGTCATCAACCTGCGTTCCGTGAAGCCTTTGGATGTTGAGGCCATTGTCAAGTCTGTCAAGAAGACCCACCGCCTCCTTTCCGTCGAGTCTGGCTTCCCCGCCTACGGCGTTGGCTCCGAGATCCTGGCTCTGACGATGGAGTACGCCTTCGACTACCTCGACGCGCCTGCACAGAGAGTCACAGGTGCCGATGTTCCCACCCCGTATGCTCAGGGACTCGAAGAGATGAGCTTCCCCACTGAGAAGATCATCGAGAACTATGTCGCCAAGATGCTGCGTCTGTAAGAAGGTCGTAGTAAGTGGCAAAGAGGAGACGGGGCGTGGGCAGGCTGCTTGCGGAAGCTCCCCGACATAAAGCCGGTTCATAATGGACTATTAGTATTAGGCTTGGTAGACTTGGGGGAGAAGCTTGTACTTGTATGTTGCTCAGTTGTCATATACACATCTCATACCCTGAGGATACGACTAGATGTGATTGTCCACGCATCGATGTGGAACCATCAAGGTACTTTCTTTTACTTGGACGTATTATTGAGTTTGCCGGCTCATCGATCAATGTGTCTGCGAGGTTGCCCGCGGCGAAGTATTGGTTTCGTTCCTTAGGTACCGTTGGGAATATGTGGCAGGAACTGCATGCAGTACCTAAACACCAACCTCCGTCTTAGACTTCATCTCAAGGGTCAGCGATAACAGCACGTATGGCAGTCGTGCTGGAACTCAAGTTGAACAGGCATTGAGGTTGTGGGCTGTCTTGCCTCGAATACAAAGCCAGAAGTTCTGGTTTTTCATTAGGCTTCATTTCTGTCTTTCGTCCTGTGGACCAGCAGCCGAACCCCAAACTCTAGGCACTCTACGGATATACATTGCCATAGAACTTGAACTTGACCTAGAATGTTACATAACGCATTTCGTGCCAAATGGAAAGGGCCTTCAGATGTACGTTACCAGACAAAGTCAGGTAGGCTTGGCTCTTGTACAAGTAGCACACTCGCCGATGTAGTAGCCACACCTTACCTTACCTAAGACAGCTGTTTGTGAGGTAACTCCGTAAACTCTCTAGCCACTGTTTGGCCCCGCACACCGTCATCAGTCCCGCCCTAGGTACCTCACTACCTCTCCTCTCCTTGCACCGTTGCGGGCGTCACCTTCGTCTCGCCTCAATTACCTAAACCATTGCTTTGCTTTGCCCACGAACCATTTTCAAGGCGACCGTCTGCAACTCGTCACCAAAGATGGCCTCTGATCTGGCTACGGCTATTCACGGGCTACATCTTACGGACCGCCCCGATATGAACATTGATGACCTTTTGTTCCAGCAGCGTCCTCGCAAACGCGTCAAGCAAGATACAGCTCATCTTAAGGCTCACCTAGAAGATGACTTTCTCACGCCGTCCACGAGATTCTCGCCCGCCTGGCTCAACCGACTGCAGCAGTGAGCCCTCTTTGCCACCCACACAGTTTCTGCCCAAATGACTATGAATGCGGCACTGACATGTCTCCTTCAGGCGCTGGGACTGCCCTGTGGATTACACGGAGCTTTTCAAGACCCTCCCCCCCAGACCCGAACTCTGACGCGGTTTGAGCGACATGGCCTTGAGGGTAGAGTGACTGGTTACAGGAACGTTACTGTACCCGCCAACAGTGCCACCGCCAAGAATTCCACCTCCTTCCTGCGCAAGCCTGCCAGTAGGGCCGACTTTGTTCGTGGAGCTGCCGGCTTCTTCCCTTTTGCGCCTGGCGGCCTGGATGGCATCGAGGCAACTGCTGCCCTCGAGGACCAGGTTCACCGAGCTGGCGGCGGAGACTCCCCCGCTGTTTCATCCAACAAGTTGGAGAGAATTATCAAGCTCGGCGCTGAGAGCAGCCTTCTCCAAGTCGCACCTGGGCTGAGCCGCGGCATCAACATCAACAGGAAGACTAACGAAGATGAGGCTAGAGCTGTTGAACAAGAGCTAAACCAGGAACCAGAACAGTCACCTAGTACTGACGAAGCAGATGGTGATGCTCAGGCCAGTGGAGAACGGGAGGCTGGAGTCGACGCCAGAGCCGAGGCCGAGGCCGAGTTCGAAGCAGAAGAAGATGACGGCGAGGACATTGATGCTATTTTGCCGGTCGAGTTTCCGGCTCTGGAGCCACATGGAGCTTTAGCGACATCCAGTGCCAGGAAGGCTGGCCGGGAGTGGGCTCACATGGTGGACATCGACAGAGATATCACGAACTTCAGAGAACTCGTACCCGATATGGCAAGAGACTGGCCGTTTGAGCTGGATACATTCCAGAAGGAGGCGATCTACCACCTTGAAAGCGGCGATTCCGTCTTCGTTGCTGCGCATACTTCGGCCGGGAAAACTGTCGTCGCCGAGTATGCCATTGCTCTTGCCTCGAAGCATATGACCAAGGCCATCTACACATCGCCTATCAAGGCCCTGAGCAACCAGAAGTTCCGAGACTTCCGCCAGACATTCGAGGAGGTTGGTATCTTGACGGGTGATGTGCAAATCAACCCCGAGGCTAGTTGCCTGATTATGACAACGGAGATTCTGCGAAGCATGCTCTACAGAGGAGCCGATCTGATCCGAGACGTCGAATTTGTTATCTTTGACGAGGTACATTACGTCAATGATTTTGAGCGTGGTGTTGTCTGGGAAGAGGTCATCATCATGCTTCCTGAACATGTCACACTCATTCTGTTGTCTGCAACTGTCCCCAACACTCATGAATTCGCATCATGGGTTGGGAGGACCAAGCAGAAAGACATATATGTCATTTCTACACCGAAGCGGCCTATTCCACTAGAACATTACCTTTGGGCTGGCAAGAATATCCACAAGATTGTGGACTCAGAGAAGAAGTTCATTGAGAAAGGATGGAAAGACGCCAATCAAGCCATTCAGGGCAGAGACAAGACTAAAGCTCTAGAGCCGAGCAATACGCCTCGCGGCGGAGGCGGCCAGAGAGGGGTCCAAAGGGGAGGACCACAGCGTGGTGGACAGCGTGGAGGCCCGCGCGGCGGCAGTCTTCAACAGAGAGGCCGCGGTGGAGCGCCACGTGCCAGTCACAACCCAGGACACATGGGTAGGACTGGTCGGCAGGGCGGCTTCACCTCGGCGGCTCAAGACAAAAACCTCTGGGTTCATCTTGTCCAGTTCCTCAAGAAGTCGAACCTTCTTCCCTCCTGCATCTTTGTCTTCTCTAAGAAAAGGTGCGAGGAGAATGCTGACGCGCTCAGTAACCAGGACTTCTGCACCGCTAACGAGAAGAGCGCTATTCACATGACGATCGAAAAGTCGATCGCCAGACTCAAACCTGAAGACCGATGTCTACCCCAGATTATCAGACTAAGAGAGCTCCTGTCGAGAGGTATCGCGGTCCATCACGGGGGTCTACTGCCTATCGTCAAGGAAATTGTTGAGATGTTGTTCGCCCAAACGCTTGTGAAGGTTCTGTTCGCTACAGAAACCTTTGCCATGGGTCTCAACCTGCCGACCCGGACAGTCGTGTTCTCTGGATACCGCAAGCACGATGGCCACTCGTTCAGGAACCTGCTCCCAGGCGAATATACGCAGATGGCGGGCCGAGCCGGTCGTCGTGGCTTGGATACTGTAGGCTCGGTTATCATTGTTCCTCCAGGAGGAGACGAGGCCCCGCCTGTTGCCGACCTTCAGAAGATGATACTAGGAGAACCATCAAAGCTGAGGTCTCAGTTCCGGCTCACATATAACATGATTCTTAACCTGCTTCGGGTCGAGGCTCTCAAGATCGAAGAGATGATTAAGCGAAGCTTTTCGGAACACGCCACCCAGCAGCTTCTTCCTGAGCACGAAAAAGCCGTCAAGCTTTCAGAGGCCGATTTGGCCAAGATCAAACGCGATTCTTGTGGTATCTGTGATGTCTCCATGGACGAATGCCACCAAGCGTCCGAAGACTACAAGCAGCTTACCGGGGAAGTCTACAAGTCTCTTATTGGAATTCCGATTGGTCGCAAAATGTTCAGCCAGGCGCGCTTGATTGTGTACAACAGAGACGGCATCCGCACGCCCGGTATATTGCTATCTGATGGCGCGAGCAATAAGGGCCCCCAGGGCAGTCCAACTTTGCACGTATGCGAGATCAGACTTATGAGAGAGACCCGTGACTCGACGGACCTGCTTCCGTTCATTCCGGCCTTCCGCAAGCATTTCACGCCACTGCCACAGGCAAAGAAGCATATACGCATCAAGACTCTGCATGTGCCCCTAAGCGATGTCGAATGTCTGACAAGATATGCCACCAAGGGCATCGTACCGGAAATTTTTCAAAGCGGCGAAAAATATCTAAAAGCCAAGGACAGGCTTCACTCCATCTGCCGGTCATGGGATGACCTTTGGGACGAAATGGATCTGTCAAAGATCAAGAACCTTCAGTTTCAGGAGATGATGAAGAAGCGGAAGGAAGCAGAGATCACCGCGTCATCATCACCGGCGCTCTCCTGCCCCCAATTTGTGAAGCACGTAAGTGGATGGGTGTTCCTACTTGGACGATTGGAAATCAACACTAATTCGTCAACTCTAGTTTGCCATGTGTCACGATCAGTGGCTTATCAAGGAACACATCTCGCAATTGCGACATTCCCTGTCGGACCAGAACCTCCAACTCTTACCTGACTATGAACAACGAATTCAGGTGCTGAAGCAGCTTCAGTTTATCGACGAGAGTGCCAGGATTCAGCTCAAGGGCAAAGTGGCCTGTGAAATCCACTCAGGCGATGAACTTGTCTTGACAGAGCTCATCTTGGATAATGTGCTTGCAGACTACGAGCCGGCCGAAATCGCGGCCTTGCTGTCGGCCTTTGTGTTCCAAGAAAAGACAGAAACTCAACCGAACTTGACGGGCAATCTTGAGCGAGGCAAGGACACCATTATCGCCATCAGCGAGAAGGTCAACGAGGTCCAGACACTCCACCAAGTCATCCAGTCTTCAGATGACTCCAATGATTTTATCTCCCGGCCCCGATTCGGCCTAATGGAAGTTGTTTACGAGTGGGCGCGAGGCATGAGCTTCAAAAACATCACTGATTTGACTGATGTTCTGGAGGGCACCATTGTGCGAACAATTACGCGTCTTGACGAGACATGCCGCGAGGTGAAAAATGCTGCTCGAATCATTGGAGATCCGGAGCTATATCAGAAGATGCAAACGGCGCAGGAGATGATCAAGCGGGACATCACAGCAGTTGCCAGCTTGTATATGTAACTGGCATGATCACCAGGAGCAAGGTATCAAGTAACGGAAGACAACAACGAAATAAAAGGGGATATGCACCAGCGGAATAAACGGCGAGTTATATTCGTCGATGGCAGTAATAACCCTCCTTCTACCTACGCTGTAGGGCGTCATCCCATTGTCAAGTCGAATGTCGTGTTATTTCATAAGCCCGTCTCCGTAAAAGATACATATCGTGTACGTGCCTGCAACCAGAAAACGCCCAAGTCCTAATGTCCAAAAGACTGATGCCATCCCAGCTTGTTCAAACCAACAATACTCAGACTCCCCGTCTTAAGCCCTCAAAGCACGCAACCTCTGCTGCAAAGCATCCTCCTCCTCGGCGGTGGGTTCATTTGAAACAAGGTCTTCTTTGGCCGGTGTTGCGCTGTTCAGCTCCGCATTAAGCTGCACGCCTGCATCGTCGGCCAATTTGCCCAGGAGCTCATGGACGGCATCATCAGAGACTTGCGCACTTGTGGATTGCGAAATGGCGTCTTGATAGATGCCGTTGGATACGGCGTACTCTTCGTTCTGTTGCTTGAATTGCTCGAGGGTAACGAGGGTCTAGGGAGGAGCATTGAGGTCAGCTAAACCGATGCACGTAAATTTACCCCGCCCAAGCTTTCTACATTACCTTCTCGGGATTCATGTTCTTCTGTGCCATGGACATGGTACGAGATGACTGGCCCATCATGTGTGTCATGCGGTTCATCGAATTGTTAGCCTGTATCTGGGCGGCAGAAAGCTCGGCCATATCTGCCATCTGGTCCATTTGCTGGGCCAAGGCCTGCTTGGACAGGAGCATCTTGGCCTTCTGATATGCCTTGGCCGTTTCGCCTTTCTTCAGCAACTAAAGAACTCATCAGTAACCGCTTGAACAGTGGCACGCCAATGAGCCGATGGATTCTTACATCTTGAATTTGTTTCTTTAGGATGGGGTCCTGTTTGGCTGCCTTTTGTGCTTCCCGCCGGGCCTGTTTCGCTTGGAACTTGTAGCGTGTCAGTATCTGGTCATCCAAGAGGACGGGATGGTGGAGGTTTAGTTGTGCGAACGAGCGCGCAAATATCCCCCATAATCAATCTCCTCCCGACATACCCTAGCCTGAAATTCAACCTGCATATCTCGGGCAAGGGCTCGATTCGACATGGTGGCCGGATGGATGTCTCTTCGGGCTCGGTTAATGGAATGGCGGGGTACTCGAGGAAGGTATCGCCGGTCGATGGCCGAGTCTTTAGAGATCGATGAGCGATGTTGAACGATCCAGGCAGTTGCTATTCAAAGAATTGTACGTTTTAGTCCATATCACAATGTTGAGATCTTGATAGGCTTTCAGGTGACAGGTTGTCGGACGGGGATGTAACGTTCAAGGACCAACCACAAACTATGGGCGATGCCTTGGCCAGACCATGGACGGCTCTTGACGGCTGCGCCATGTGGGGCAGGTCTGGGGACACCGCCACACCATGACGCAACCAAGTAGGGAAATCTGCATCCAACCAGCCACGGCAATGGCCAAGAGGCAAGGTGGGCCCAATGAGCCACGTCTGTGGCTGAACCTTCGGCATCGGTCGGTGCTAGAGGTCGGTCATCGATAATCCCGCGGGATGTCTCTTCTGCAAGTGCAGAACCAACCGCTGCTTTACCTGGGCTCGTTGCAGGATCCCACTTTGGAATGGTAGACCTCGGATAGCAACAACTCAATGAGACGGCGGCGAGACAATATCATTTAGAGATACTACGGTTCAATCGCAACAAAAGATGATCTTGCAGTTTCAACGTTGGTCATGCATTCCTATTTCCATCTCCCACATCTACTTACTTTAGGTACAAATACAAGGCGGTAATCCTATTAACTGAGTTCGTGGGTAACAGTCAGAGTTTGATCTCGCCGTAAAGATCAAGAGTACCCTTGAGATAGATAGTAAGGTACTATAAACCTGACGTTGGGTGGCTGGTATACCTGTAACTGCCTCATACAACCATCTCGCCATCTCTTCACCATCTACAAATAAAAGGGAGGGGGGAAGAAGACGAAGAAGGGAGAAAAAACCATTGTGCAGACAGATACCAACACCCTCAAAGCTGCCAAGACCCGTTCCGGTAAAGCGGCGGTTTATTTTCTCTCCTGTCAACCCCGGCTCGGTTGGCGCCGACATTTCCTTCTTCCGACCTTAAAATTCCCGTTCCCCGATAGTCAAAGAAACCTTTCCCCGACCAGCCACTACTCCCCATCCTACGTATTCAATCCTTAAGGACCGTATCTCCTCAATTCAGTCACGATGCTGGCCGCTCGTACCTTCGCTGCGCCCCTCCGGCAACAGTGCGTGCGCGCTGCCCCGCGCGCCGCCGCTGTCTCCCAATTCCAGGTGCGCGCAATTCGCCTTGCTGTCCCGCGATTCGCCTGACGAGGCCCATGCACGAAGCCTCGAGGGGCCATGTCAGGATAGCCATTGAAGTAGAGCCACAGACTAACAGCCGATCAGAACTCCAGATTTTACTCGAGCGAGCGTGTCGCCAAGTTCCACGGTGTCAAGGACTCCAACGTATGCCATCCCAATCTTCCTCTGTTACTTTCCGCCCCATAATTATGTCCGCGCAAAGACTCGAAAGACCTCGGCTGTGTTGGTTCTGGGCACCCGACTTCGACGCTAGACTGTCCTCTGCCCTCACTTGCAAGGCTGATTGGGAAGGTCTATGTGAAGAAACAAGGTGCTCTGGCGAAAACTAGTGTTGTCGGTTTGGTCTGCGTGGTGGTTCAAAATCACTTAATTGGCGCAACCGTTTTGATAATATCAATTGACTGACCTGCTGTGTTATAGGGCAACTATCCGGTCAGCTTGATTGAGGGTGACGGCATCGGTCCGGAGATTTCCCAGGCTGTCAAGGACATCTTCGCCGCAGCCAAGGCCCCTATCACTTGGGAGCCCGTCGATGTCACCCCCATTCTCAAGGACGGCAAGACTGCCATCCCCGATGCTGCCATCGAGAGCATCAAGCGCAACAAGGTCGCCCTCAAGGGACCCCTCGCCGTACGTTGAACAAGAGTTCCCGCAAATATGGCTCCTACCTCTAACACATGGTGCTTCTAGACCCCCATTGGCAAGGGCCATGTTTCCCTTAACCTTACTCTCCGTCGTACCTTCAACCTTTTTGCCAATTTGCGCCCCTGCCGCTCCGTCGCCGGCTACAAGACCCCCTACGACAACGTCGATACTGTCCTGATCCGCGAGAACACTGAGGGTGAATACTCGGGCATTGAGCACGTCGTTGTTGATGGCGTCGTCCAGTCCATCAAGCTCATCACCCGTGAGGCTTCTGAGCGCGTCCTGCGCTTCGCCTTCCAACAGGCCCAGGAGATTGGCCGCAAGAAGGTTCGCGTCGTCCACAAGGCCACCATCATGAAGATGTCAGACGGTCTCTTCTTGAAGACCGGCCGCGAGGTCGCCAAGGACTATCCTGATATCGAGTTCGATGCCGAGCTTCTCGACAACACCTGCCTGAAGATGGTTACCGACCCCCTCCCCTACAACGATAAGGTCCTCGTCATGCCCAACTTGTACGGTGACATTCTCTCGGACATGTGCGCCGGTCTGATCGGTGGTCTCGGCCTCACCCCCTCAGGCAACATCGGTGACGAGTGCTCTATCTTCGAGGCCGTCCACGGTTCCGCCCCCGATATCGCCGGCAAGGGCCTGGCCAACCCTACCGCTCTGCTCCTGAGCTCCATGATGATGCTGCGCCATATGAGCCTGGGCGAGTACGCTGACAGAATCGAGAAGGCTGCTTTTGATACCCTTGCGGAAGGAAAGGCCCTGACTGGCGACTTGGGCGGCAAGGCCAAGACCCACGAGTTTGCTGGCGCCATCATTTCTAAGCTGTAGATACCTACCTGTAGACTGTACGATCTTAGAGATGACGGGTTCTTATTTCCTTTGCGTTAGCCATAGTCGTTGAATGAGTTGATGAACTCCCAAGCTGTTTTTTAATGTGCGTTTGTTTCCCCGCGAATGATGCAAAACGGTTGGACGAAAATGGAAACCTCTTTAAGCGACTGGCAGCATTGGAAGCGGTCTGGCGGCAATAAGTGTAATTAATCAATTGGACCGTGTTAGTTAAATAAAAGCGATCTAATACATTGCTCTGCTTCTGAGGCTGCTGTGAGGCCTGGGCCTTTGCAGGCACTTTGTTTTTCGGCTGAATCACTCAATGCTCAAAGGATTTATACAAGGTGTTGACACTCTTTAGAAAAATCCAAGAATCTTGAGTGATTTAAGAGCAAGCAGATCAAGCACCAATCCTCAGTCCCCTTCCCCAGGTATAGTCCTGCTTGGGCATATTCTGCCCCCTAAAACTTGACTTGCTTGGCATACAATGGCACCGCAGTGCGGATACATCCAAAGGGGCGATGGAGTGTGGAGCCAGTATCAACACACGTACACTACTTGCTGACCGCGTGTTTGGAGTACTGCACAACCACGAATCAGCTGCCAGGTAACCAGTGAGTTCTCTCTCAGCAAGGACGCTCTATTGACTGCCGCAGATCCGCATTGTTAGCTATCGGATGGGTCCTGGTTCCAGAACGCGACTCATGGACCAAAGACATGGATGCAGCGTTACATTTATCGTACTTGTTGTACGATCTTGTCGACTGCGTCCTCTTTCTAAAATAGAATAAAATCCTGTTGCGCCCACCAAGAACTTAGTCTGCGCTACCTGTACACTACTTTATGAGGTCAACAGCGCTGACAAACTTGTTTCAAGAAGGCATAGGTGAGCTGCGGGCATTACGAACAGCAACAGCTTGGCTCTTGCCGAGATTGCTGAGAGAATTTAAGCCTCTTGCGTACCTATTTGTAGGCTTTCTTAGGTTGATCTACCTGTAAGTAGTCCGAGCATGTTGCAGCAATGTCGGACAGACTTTGGAAGGATCCTTTTTTGTTGTCATCTCCATGGGTGGCTATATCCAGCGACAAGTCACGGCGATTCACAGACATAATTCATGAGACCCCGATACTACCACCATACCTTTCCAGGTATACAACCATTAGACGTATACTACTACTTCGTAGTGTACATTACTACACACTTTGCCAGCTCGGAAAACGTGTTCTATCGTCAACGTCTGGGACCTACCGTATACTCGGCTAACATGACTTCCACTTCTGTTCAGGTTGACCTATGGAGTATTTGAGTTAACATATGAGCCTCGTTTTCTTTTGCAATGCTAGCTCTTTCGATAACCGCCTTACTTCTTTACTTATTGCTGTTGGCCCTGATTGAAGTGGAAGTCTGGTTAGTCGAGTGTATACGACATTGCCTGCGTACATGTATAGATACTTGTGGGACCAGTACCAGAGGTGTGGAGAGGACAGGGAACGCACCACAGGGCACCAGCGCTTTAAAGCAGGTGGCGTCAATGTGCACAACAACGAACGTGGGAAGAGCCTTATGTAACGAACATGCGTATTCGACATTTACCTAGCAGTTTACAATGATAAACTTTGGTATACGAATGCGTCCACCGCCTGTAGGTAAGTGGTGTACGAATCATATCTGACCATGAGGAAACAACGAACAATCCACCACTCTTGGGTCCAAATGTCCCCTTTTCTATCTCTGTTTCGATGCACGGAATTCGGAACTGATGGTGGAGTACCGCCAACCAAGTCAGTGGACGTCGTTCTTGCTCCGCTGTTAGTATCTCATCATCTTATTCACGCAACAGACCTAGTGTAGTATCCTGCTACAATTACGGAGTCAATGAAGCGACATTACGCTTCAGCTGCTGCAAGAACGCGCGCCACGTATCAGTATACCGGTGCCGGGACTCCATTCGCCCCACTGGGCGACCTAACGTAAACTAGTGTCTGGAATAGAACGTCTTTGTTTCCTCACGGGTTACCGCTTGACTCCATCCATCATGGTTGACATTGGGTTTGTCCATTGCGGGACGCGTATGCGCGGCAGGTGGATGGCTGCAGGGTGGCCTCGAGCAACCCATGTGCTTCATGTGGGTTGATCATCTCGTGCCGGTGGCGAACTGGAAGGATAACCGGGCCGGCAGCTTCGGTACCTACGATATGATCATATGAAAGAAGCTACGACCGCTCGAACACTTGCCGTTCGTTCCATACGATCACGTATCTAGCGTGAGAGCACTCGACATGCTTTGCCAATCCGTCCGCATAATGGGTTGTGGATAAGGCGGGGGGGGCGATCTTGAGCGAGAATGGCATTACCGGTACATGAGCACACGGCTTATACGGGAATGGTAGTCCACCCTTGCGAGCACTATGTTTTTCCCAAAAACAATGTCAGTTCCTGAGGTAGTATCTGCCCAGCGTACAAGATTTCATGTCTTCCATCCTGTCTATAGAGCCCTCATACGACAGGATCCCAGTTGCCATGAGCTCCCTTGACAATACCTTCGATCTCCGAAGTCACCCATCCGCCATAAAAGTCGCCTGGCTGAGGCTGGACGGCCTCGCCGTTGATAAAACAATCCCACGGATCAGCGTAGAACGAAAAATGTCCCTTGATCGCTTCAAAGTTTGGCGTCGGAAACTCGTATGACCAGATACGGTTGAACACAATCTCTGGCTCCCCGGTAGATGATGATCCTGGCGCCGTGATGGAGTAGTAGGTTGCGGCACCTTTCCACTCACAGAATGTGGTTCGAGGCGTCCGTTTCAATGGAACTCTGACCGAAGCCGGCGGAAAATAATACGCTATTTCTGGTATTAGAAACGACAGTCGCGGTTATTTGTACCTATCCAAACCAACGCTGGAAGACAAACTAGGCGGATGATGAGTTTCTAGCACCCTGTAGGCATCTCTGGTGTCTGCTACCACTTGGCCGTTCCAGAGGATCTGCAAATGCCGAGATACCTTTTCCAGCAAGGGCGGACGGGGAAACGACTGCACATTCATCTTTGTTTGCGCAGCCATTGTCGAATTTCGTAGTTTGTTGTCCTCGAACAAACCTTGTTCACAGGGAATTCAAAGGAATGCGATATTGCACGTTAAAACCAAAAGTAACAAGACCCATCCAGAGGGCACCAGGCATTTCAGAACTGAAATAATACGGGACTCCAGTATCTAGCATAATCTCGGTGTCAACCTAGCCGGGTTGCTGCTTGAAAGCATCATAGACTATGGCACGCTAAAGGCCCTGACACTGAGGCACTAATGCTAGATGCCTTCAGAGGACCCCATCTTCTCAATTAAGGTTTGCGCCCACCATGCTGACACACTACCGTATCCACTGGTTAGATAGAATAACCACTAGAGAGCAAGCTAACGGCAAGGGGTATCGCGGCTGCTGTGAGAGGTAAAGTGTGCTGGCAGAAACAGGGGCCTGGATGTGGCAAAAGCAGGGGTCAGTTATGTGCGCCAGCAGCAAGTTAGGTGTCAAGACTCAAGGGCTAGCAAACAGAGTTATGGTTGGCAAGGTGGTTTGACCGCCTTCTATCTTAGGCTTAGCTTAGTCGATATTCGCTAGCTACTATTAGCTAGCTTGCTCCCTAGTGGTTATTCTATCTAACGAGTGTATACGGGTAGCACATGCTAGAGCACCTACCCGGAGGCCTTAGTCAGCCTTTGGCTGTGCTAAATGCAGATACCTAGTGTGTGGCTCTCCAGCGTCTCCCTCCCAAGATCAGGAAGCTTTCGAGTCAATCCTCTACATGACGCTGACGGCGATCTGAATCAATACATCCGCTAGCTTCTTTCCCATTGTTTTTAGATGGCTGTCGAATACTTTTTAAGGCCGACTTGTGATTCTGAAAAACAATGCACTGTAGTGCAAGTTTTCGTTGCGTGATTTCTCGGCAGTTAGACACTGTTGCAACGAAGACTGAAGCGATCGGAGTGCCCAGAACCAGCGCCATTCAGCCGCGAAGTCCGCAAGACCTCCTAGGCCAGAATGGTCGACCATTGTAGCGGGTCTGAGTTGCGAAAGTCTGTCCATGGCCACTGGTGCCGGAGGGACCAGCGGGTGGCTAAGTTTAGCAACGCGACGCAACGAGTGAATGCGGCGGAGTAGTGTACAAGATGAAAGGCTGCTGCTGCGCACGCTTTACACCAACGCAACATGAGCTCAGCTAACAGGCGTTCCACGCCACTTTCGCAATCATCCATCAGCTGTCAGCCAGCTCAGCGATGTCCGGGCACGCTGAAGAGGAGGACTGGTGACTCGGCGGGTATCCCCTCATCGCCAAAGAGCGTCCACTCCTGTCATTAGAGGTAGTGGTGGCCGCTAACCTATTACCTTTGGTGGTCGCCACCCGTCAAGAATGCGGTCGTCATCGACGAAGAGGGCATACAATTCATCTCGGAACGAGTGTCCGGAGCGACACTGAATTGAGGGTTGGCTGGAGTTATAGCCGAGTCGGTTGTATTGTACGCATATTCCTCCCGAGTCTGTCCAGTTCCATATAAGATAGTGTACGAAAGACAGCCGGAGCGAGAGAAAGGAGTGCCCCTGAAAGCTGCGCTGACTCCGTCTGGTATGTTGCGCCAGGCGTGTTTCCGTTCCGTGGCTCCCGTGTTTCCTATTTAGGATTCACCACCACCCACAAATACGACCACCAGAGACTTTGTTTTGTTTTTGACACAAGCTCGTTTACCTGACGAGAGGTGGAAGAGGCGAATTGCTTGAAGAAACGCTGGCTTTCGCTCGGGTGGTCAGAGGCGGACGCGAGGCAAATTCCAATGCCAAACCCTCAAGAAGGCAGGGAGGAAGGAAGGGAGCAGGGAGGAGCGGTGCGACCACGAGAGAGGTGTCTATCTACCTCGGTAGGTATGCATCAACAAGGTAGGTGGCTTTTCACCTCATGTCATGTCCCACAATCTCCATCGTCCGTGGAAGGAATCCGAGCCAGTGAAACCGCTGAGCCATACTACACTATCACTTCGGTCGAACAAATCCACCAATGACCCTCTGCCTGCTAGAAAGTACCCATCTCCTTGAATCCACCTCTCAACCTGACTCAACCTTCCTTCCTGAGGTTTCAATATTGCTGAGTGAGCCGTGCACGTGCTAAAGCGGGTACGAAGTACCTGGGTAGGTAGGTACCTACTTACTTCTGGCAGGTCCGCCCGTTCCAATCTGGACGCGTCCTTCGCCCCTGAGAATGAGACTGCGTGATCGCCCCACCAGCTTCGGAAGAAGTAGTGTAGTAGTGTACGGTAATGTATTTCCAGGCCCAAACGTGTTCTCCTGCAGCACTACCACACCAAACAGAGTACACTTGCTATGTACCTACTCCTGAATCTCACCCTTGCTTCCGCTCCATGGGCCCCTATCCCCACCCTTGGGGGCTTGGGGCTTGGGGCTGTATGCCTGAGGCACCAAATGCTCTTCCGTCCCTTGGCTCCCGTAACCCCTTGGAAGCTTAGAGAGGAGGGCCAGCGTGTTCTCAAGTTACAAAAGAGGCCACATTGCCTGCTTCCCATCCCCCGTTCTGACAACCACATTGCACCCAAGACAAACCCAAAGAACACTCTGTCCTTTTCATTGCACCCACGCATTCAAGCATCTTCAGTCTATTCCACAACGCTGGTGCCTTGCTTTGGTGACTCATTTAGCACAGTCTGACTCATCCACGGAGTCAACACAGCCCCATCATGCCTTCTACTTAGCACGGCTGCTTTGGCTACATCTATTTTCTATTGAGGAATCAGGACGGCACCTCAATACTGCACAATCCATATCCACCATTCCCGAATCCAAACCCCGGATCTTTATCAACCCCACACCCGAGGGAGCACGACTACCCCCCCTCCCAAAGACCTCCTGCCAACTCAACTCGAGAGCTAGAAGCCGACAGTGAAATCTGCAGACAGCATTCTTCAACAGTCGCACATACCCTCCACAATGGATTCCTGGGAACAAACATCACCAATGATTAAGTTTGAGGACTCACCGGCGGAGTCGTTTGTCTCGACACCTGGCGAACTCTACCCTTCGCTGTTTGGTGATGCGAACTCGGCTCCTGAGAACACGGTCGACCCCTCAGACATGATGACACCCCCTTCGTTCAACGACGACGATGACGCCGGCGTATCAGCGTCTCCCTCAACAACTCCCGCCCCTCCAGGGACCGGATCTGTCTCCCCAGAAAAGAAACAAACTAAGAAAAGAAAATCGTGGGGCCAGGTCCTGCCTGAGCCCAAGACAAATCTCCCCCCAAGGTAAATCAATATCCCCACTAGTTACAACCAGTTTTAAGGCTAACAAAGTTGTCCAGAAAACGTGCAAAGACGGAGGACGAAAAGGAGCAACGGCGTGTGGAGCGCGTCCTCCGCAATCGTCGCGCTGCTCAGTCATCTCGTGAACGAAAGCGTCTTGAGGTGGAGGCTCTTGAGCGACGGAACAAGGAGCTTGAATCAGCTCTTCAGAACGTCACAAAGGCAAACCAGCTTCTAGTCGAGGAACTAAACAAGTTCCGTCGTGACTCGGGAATGTTGACTCGGTCCTCGTCCCCTCTTGACCCCCTTAACAGCAATTCTGTTACTCTATCTCAGGAGCTTTTTAGTTCCCAAGATGGTCACCAACCTTCCGTGGCCGAGACAAAGTCTTTAGTCGACAACTTGATGACTTCGTCTCAACCCAATGCCACTGTTAATCCCGCTTCACTATCTCCGGAGCTTTCGCCTATTCCCGAGAGTACGAAGACGAACGTCGCGGAGCAGCAAACGGCCGAGACCTCTATTGCGAAGTCTACTTCTGACCTGACACAACGTCCTGCAGCGATGTTGTGCGACCTGCAGTGTCATCTGTCGGAGGAGCTTCCGCAATCATGGCTGGCCTCTCAAACCCCTCTGCATCCGACCTTGGCCTTTTATCTGCAGCTTCAGATGCTGTTACTCGGTTCGGCGGTGATCCTTTCAGTATGTCAGCGGCCCTTAACGCAGATCGCTATGTCCTTGAAAGCGGGATTCTCTCTTCCCCCAACTCCCTCGATTACGAAAACGATTATTTGGCTGGTGACTCTTCCGCCTTCTTCCAGGACCCGTTCGACATCAATGAGTTTCTTCACGACGAGGTCAACGGCACAGCCGTCGCAGCGGACCCGGAATTCGGCGGCGATCTTACCAACTCTGAGACTCAAGTCTCTTCAGAGAATCCTAACCTGCAGCCCCAATCTGGCGCGTCCACTTATGGATGCGACGATGGAGGCATTGCGGTTGGTGTCTGAAGGATGTGATGATCGGGTTGAGGGATTGGCGACTGAACATCCGGCGCAGCGCGACAGCTTCCATCAGCCACAAACTTGGCTGGCTGGCGCGCCGTTGCCCTCGAAGGAGGTTCTCTTGACGTTACTCTGGGCTCTTAGGGTCGAAGAACGAAAGATGATCCTCGGAGGCTTACTCCCAAATAATACCCTGTCTCCCAACCCGACGGACAGCACTTCAGCACCACCCAAAAACATTGTGATTACTGTGTTTCCCAAGAGGAAGCGAGCAGACGAGGATACAAATGGATCTGGGAAGCGTTTTCAACTAGCATGATTAAGGGCATAGGGAAACGGTGTATCACGGCATAAAGATTATGTCTAGTGAGAATCGAGGCATGGCTTGAATATGTAACATCCTGTTGAATGAATAGTCGCCAAGCGACCAATGACCATTACCATATCACTCCCCTTTGTGCTCGTTTTCGCATGCTCGGTATTTTGATATTTGAATTGCGATATAAGTTGCATGACACGATTGTGGCAATGGCAAGATAGGCAACCCTTTATATCAGGTCGTTGCGAAAAGAGATGGGGAACTTCATACATGCCCTTACTCCAATGCCATGTGTGCCGTGTCCAGAGTCATCATTGCTACCCAAACTTAGAAAACTGCAACCGCTCTCAAACTTAACCTTTTATTACCACAGTCCATCCATCTCTGCCATGGCCGCTTCTTCATCGGCAAAATCTTCCGTGACGGACTTCACATCTGGCGCCTGCCGAGACTGTGCCTGTGCCTGATACACAGCTTCCGCCTCGGCTATCAGTACGTCGAGATCGTCGTCCTCGGGTTCTTCAATAGGCCGGTTTGATCGTTCTCGTTCCCGCCGTCCGACCGGTACCCGAGGTGTTGCTTCATAGATATCATCATCATCTGGCATGTGTCCTCCTTCCGGTGTTATTGGACGCTGTTCCTTTGTACCCATCGTTACGGCGGGCGCCAAGGGCGTCATGTCTTTTTTCTGGGCCGTCGACTGGGTGCCTTCTTCCATCTTGTCCTCATCTGCCTCCCAAGGTTTAGGTTTGCCCTCGTTGATCCAATCCATGCGTTTAAGGGCAATTTGCTTCTTATGTCCGGCCTTTTCGACCATGGCTAGAGCATCAAGAAATTTGGCTTTTGGGAAGAGATCGTCAAGCCAGAGCTGATAAAAGGCCAGAAGACGACCTGCATCAGAAAACTGGGAGTAAACATGTCAGTATTTTATGGGCATGCAACGCTAGTTGTGACGCTTACTTCATGTCCCCTGCCCTTGAATCTGAGGTTCGTGGCGCGTTTCCGAAGCTTGGGTATTCCGTTCTCAGATAGCAGTCTAGTCTGGTTGTCAGTTGCGGGGAATACAGGTAAAAGTGTGAGTGAGCAACTCACCGAGTCTCGTCCAACTTCACTCGTGGTACTCTCACTCGCTTCGCTACCTCGACCTCTTCGTCAAGCCCCAGGGCTTCCGCCTTCTTCCTCTTGTTTTTGCTGTTGCCATCTCTCACTTCAGGTGGTGGGGACTGAAAGGGGTCATCAAAATCGTCGACGTTGTAGTTATCGAGATCATCATGATGGAGACTTGGGTTTAGATCCATAGTAGGAGCCTCGTTGCGTTGTGAATACCAAAAGATCGCTGAACATGCGACGCGACATGTTAATTAGGCACGCGTCTTTCAATTAAGCTGACACGACGCGCTGGTGACTAAAGGAAGCCACACGCTGAACAGGGTGGGGTAAATGAAGCCACATCGCCATGGTCTGTGCATATCCTCCTGATTTGGTGCCTCAGGTATTTTCGTCGTTCGGTCCTAGCAGCATCCATCTGTATCCAAACCAACGTCCATTTGGAACGTTAAAAGCTCCCAATACCCGGCCATCATTAACGCAATTGGGCCACGAATTGCCGTCCGCTACAATGGCCACCGCGCAAGCCCAGACATTCGCTCCGACCAAGGTCGTCAAGAGCGACTACCCCGTACGTTATTCCTGTTGTGGCATACATTCTTTAGAACGGCAGGCCTTGGCTAACGACTCTCCATGCAAAGCTCATTGACAACGATCCGTACAGTCCAATCTGCCCCGTCGCAGCCTTTGCTTATGACTTCAGACACTAATGATCATCATCGGCCTTTAGTCACTTTAAGAGAGTCGTCGGGTATGCCCGACCTTCAGATTACCTCCACGGAGCCGTAGCTGCCGCCTTCGGCCCGGCTGCTCTCCTTACCCTCGAGAAATTCGCTCCTTCCCATGTTGGCAAAGGAGGTATGGCCCAGGCCATGCGACTGGCCGGTGCTGTTGGCTTGGCCGGAGGTTTCCTCTACTTCTACCAGCGCTCGAGCTGTAAGTGATGCCTACATACGATGGCGCCGGTGGAGGGTGGGTGTTGGGCGCAAAATGCTGACTCAATGATTGACAGTACGATTCTACGGAGCCACCGAGAATGCACGCGAGGTTGAGATGGACATGAAAGAGATGGTAGCAAAGGTCAAGGCCGGTGAGCCACTCTACGGAGAGAGCAGGCTTACACCCCACATGCAAGGAGTTGCGGCACGGCAGTCAAGATATTCGGCCTTGTTCATGGGCGTTGTGCCCTGGTTCAATTTTGTCAATCACAGCCAGCATGGCGTCGATACGGCCAAGTACTATCAGCAGGCTGAAAGGGAGCTTGAGGCTGAGCGTTTGCAAAAGGGCAGCTCATAATCTTCTATGTTGTTGCCAGCATTGGGTATCGGCAGGCTGTATGTATTATAACTTTGACGAGTAAGCGGTGGGCCATGACTGACTACCGATATAGCTGAAGCCGGTCTTGTCCGATTTATTTCCCGTTGCGCTGAACATTTCCGTTACCCCTGAGAACTGACCGCTTGGCCGGTGTCATGAAGCTACGCGTCTCTAATTGATAGCTGGGATTTCCTAACTATCGATGACAATCACCATCCAACCTCCAAAACTGAAACGGAAGTACCGGGCGTCCTGGTGGTGTTTAAATGTGACCACTTGCGATGGTAATGGCTCCTCGGTTGCAGAGGGCAGCAGTACAATCCTAAAACACTCTGGTTGTAGCCTTCGGCTGGGGCCTATGGCCTTGTGCTGTGTGTGTGTGTGTGTGTGTGTGTGTGTGTGTGTGTGTGGAGCTTCGGCCAATGGTGACTTCCACTTCAGCAGCCGGCCGGCCTGCCGTCGTTCGTGTATGCATCCAGGCCATGGTTGAAGTGAAGTCAGATTCAGCAGTTACTCTGTTATTGGGTATTCTATACCATATTAATAGGTTGAGATCTGACACAGGTTAGAGGTGCCCCGTATCGGGTTTTACATACCGTGATGTTACATATGAACCCGGCGAGCTGCACTATATCGTTTATACGGTTTAGAGCGACTATATCCACTAACAACCTCCGGCCGTGCGGATGGCATTCACTGTCTGTCGTCGTGCTATGTAGAGTCTACAGCGGCTAGGGACCATGTAATGTAGAAAGAGCATGGGAGGCGGAAGATCTGAGCGCTTTTGACTATGGGCAAAGTACTGTAAAACGTTCTGTCCAACATGTTGAGTCATGCCGAAGCTTGGAGCTGTTTCTTCAACTAACAGTAGCATGTTGAAAACAGTCCCGCCGTTAGATGCTTTATCGTGTCTAAAGCATGATTCGTAACCCATTGTGTGCACTCTAGGAAGTTCCAAACCCAATGCAGCTTGCAAGTCCGACTTGACGCATTCATCCACTGGTACCGTACTGCTGCTTGCTAGTCTTGGATATGCAGCTTTCCGGAACCTCCCAGGACTGGCTATTGCCAGAGTTTAGTTTGTGCTACCGCTGTTATGTTGATGATTAACCGGTGAGTGCCAATTGTCAGCAGCCATCATTTTCTTGGCTACAGATAGTCAGCCTAAAGCCGTGCTGCTAAACACGATCTGACTATTACTGGAGTGGTCCAAAACCCCCTCTTTCAGGAATGGTGGCTGACTGACCATCAGTTTGTTGGAGACCTCGAGGATCCCAAACTGACAAGCTGAGGAGGATGTCTTCCAGAGCTGGACCTTACTACCACAACAGTGACCCTTCAGTGCAAACATCACTTAGCTGGCTCAACACCAGTAGCGAGCATCTTCAACAACCGGTTCGCTTTCCGAATCGACAGGTAGTTTGTACCGGGGCTACCATTGCAAAGTAACAGGGAAGGACTTTGATGCAGTCATCTTGCGGTGAAGTAAAGGCTGCTGAGTTTCCGAGTATGAGACGGGTACATAATAAGGAACCGGCATGCATTGCTGCCACAACAGTATCGTCGTTGACGCAGCCCTAACTGTGGTAGTCAGCGGTAAACGACGGCTCAGTGAAGGAGGTAGGGGTTTACTAGTTTATTCATCTGTCGCTATCATCATTTTCTATCATCATTTCTCCACCAGAACCGCTACGGCAGCCTGCAGGGCGCACTAGTCCAAAAGTTAAATAGTTACTACACCTACCCCATTAGTTTCTAGAAACACTGCACATTATTAATCTAACCTATACATAACTAATTAGTCTTTTAAATAAATTATCCTTTTAGATATATTTATATTACTCTATATAGCCTAGAATATTATAGTTTTACTTACTTAGATACTTTAATTATCTAATTAGTCTATAAATAAGGAAGTATATACCCTAGAGTATATACTTAATAAAAGTATATACCTAGGGCTAATTATAGGCGCTTTACTTTAACTATAAATATATATTTTTTTTACTTTTAAACTTCTTCTCTTTTTTATACTTAATTTAAAGTATATAAGTAACCTTTAACTATATACTTTTATTAACTTTTATTTAATTTATTTATTTTATTTACTTATTTATTTTACTTTTTAATTATTACTAAACTAATATTTTTTTTATAAATTTTTATATATTTATATATTCCTAGAGGTACCTAGTGTTACCTTATATATTTAATAACTTTTTTATATATCTTTATATATTTTTATATATTATTATATATTACTATATAATCCTATAGGTCCTTATACTTTTATTTATACTTATTACTAACTATATAACTTCTATATATTTATATAGACTTATATATTATAGCTAAGCTTATCTTAGAAAAGATTAAAGGTATATAGCTTCTAGTAGATAATACTATTCTTATATAGCTTAGTAATAATTCTACTAATATAAAAATTACTATATACTATTATAAGTATATATATATATTTCTATATATTTTTACTTTATTTTATACTAATCTATATAGTTACTATTAAGTATACTTCCTAGTAAGTTATTACCTAGTTCTTTAATATAGAAGATACTTTTATAAGTTTATATATATATTTCCTTTATAAGTGCTAATATTAATATAGCCTTATATACTTAATCTTTATATAAAAGTGTCTAATAGTATTTATACTAAGTATAAACTTAAGTATAAATATATATAAAATAGTAACTTAATTTTAATATAGATATATAAAACTATATACCTTAGTTTAAAAGCTTATACTAGTTACTAAAAGAGTAATAGTCTATATATAACTTATATAGTTATCCTAAATACTACTACTTATACTAACTACACCTATAACTTTAGTATAAGTACTTATAGCTTTAGTAAGTTCTATATATTTTTAGCTAATATTTATATATACTTATACTTATATATAGTTCTAGGTAATTATAAGTAATCTAGTAGTAAGCTATTTACTTTATATAAGTCTAAGACTATTAAGGCTACTTATATAAAAATAGACTTTCTTATATAAATCTATAGGCTTAAGCTTAAGTATATATACTATATTAGTAATATACTTATTTTTATAGTAAATAAGCTTAAGTCTATAGGCTATTATATATATTTATATAACCTTAGTCTTTATTTATATATTTATTAACTTCTATATAAGTACTAATAATCTTATTAACTTTTTAATTTAGTCTAATAGTAATAGTAATAGTTATACTTAATCTATATACATCTATATATATTTTAGCTAATTTAATACTTTTATATATCCTTTTATAGTAGTAGTTAAGAGAATAATAGAGAATATAGAGGTTTATAGAAAAATATAGGCCTTTATAAAAAAATATAGAAGTTTATAAGTCTTAGAGAGATATATATATTTAGGTAATATAGTATATACTTAGCTAGTTTTTTATAGTAAAGTATAAAGTTTAGTAGATAAGGTTAGTTTTTTATAGACCTAGGTACCCTTATATACTCTTGTATATTAGTTTTAGTCTACCTAGGTCCTTATATTTTTAGGTTTTTAGATACCTAATCTTATAGTTTTATATATATAAATTTCTCTTTTATATACCTTTATATAGACCTATATATCTTAAAATTTTCTCTTTAAAATATCTTAGACTAGTTATCTATTATATAATCTTATATAGTATTTTATACTTATTTAAGAAAAGTTAAATTCTAGATAAACTTATATAGTAATTATTATATACTTATTAAAAAATTATTAACTTTAAGTTTTTTTTATTACTTTTAAATAATTTTTACTTTTAATTAACTATTACTATAAAGTCTATATTTAATTCTTAGTTCTTTTACTTTAATATATTTTTAAGCTTTTTTTTAACTACTATCTTTTTAATTAAAATATTCTTACTGCTTTATATATAAAGGGATTTTAAATCTTATAATATAGCCTTAAAAATATCTAAAGATACTATTTATTATAGTAACACTAAATACCTAAATAGCTTTAAGCTATATATTATAGTATAGTTTAGTACTTTTTATTAGAAGATAGTATAGTAAATATAGTCTAAGACCTAGGCTATAAGTTTTTTTATACTTTTATACACTAATATAGCTATATTATTAGCTAAGATATTCTTTATAAAGCCTATTATTAAGTTTTTTTTTTAAAAATATATAGAAATATCTAAAAAAGCTTTAATATTAATAAAAAGGTTAAACTATACTAAGGCCTAACTTTATCTAGTTAATTAATACTTATAATAAGCTACTTTTATTTAAGTTTAAGATATATACTACTATTAATATATACTTTTAGTATATTATATAGTTTTATATAGGGTTCTCTATATATACTACCTAATTTATACTTACTTAGTACCTCTTTATTATTCTTAAATAGAAGTATATACCCTTTACTATTTATTTAGACTATAGTATAAAAGTAGCTTTTACTATAGGAAGGTATTAGTATCTTTTATAAAAGTATATAAAATATATATTATTTTAACTAAATATAGATATCTTTATAATATTTTATAATTATTAGGTCTTTAGTAATAGTATTTCTAATATTAAAATTAATAGTTAGTAAAATTAATTATATTAGGCCTAATCTATATAATAAAAAGTAAATACTTACTTATTTATATATATATTCTAAAATACTTATACTTTATATAAGGATTCTTTTATTAACTATAGTCCTTATAACTTTTTTTTAAATTCTTTTTTTAATTAGATTACTTTACTTTTTATCTATATACTACTTCTTTATAAAGACTTTTTTAACTTTATATACCTCTAGAATAATTATTATATTTATATATAAAAGAATTAGTCTTATAGTGTCTATAGTTAGCCTTAGTTACTTTTTTACTAGCCTAATTAGACTTTTATAATTAATTTTATATAAAAGGTTAATCTTTTAAAAGTATAAAAAATACTTATAGTGCTTAAACAAGATAGTATAAATCTTAATTTATACTTACTTATATAAGTAATATAAGTCTATAAAGATATTCTTAGTTCTAAAAAGACTTTTTTACTTATTATAGAGTTTTATAGTTTAAAGTACCTTTATATTAAGGTATATAACTTCTTATAGTAATATTTAGAGATATATATTATCTTAAAAGTATCTCTAGAGGTTTCTTTATTAGAGAAGTAAAGTAGTAAAGTTAAGTAAGTAAAGGTATAATTTATTATACTTAGGATTAATTTATAGTAAATCTTTATAAAGTAGTTAACTTTATTTTAAACTAAAAAGTAAACTTTTCTTTAATTTAACTTATATACTCTCTTATATATTCTTTATTTAATCTTTATTCTTAATATTATCCTATATAACTACTTTTTAATCTTTACTTTTTATATTTTTTACTTTTAAGTATATATACTTTTATAATTTTACTTATAAGCTTACCTTTAGAGCTTTAAGTATTAGTTTTTATTTTATTCTAGTTTAAATAGTACTAGAG